TAAGAAATCATCTTGATACAAAGCCGCCTGCTAAAATTTGCGTGATCATAAATAAGAATTAGCTGACAATATGGCCAATACAGGATATCAGATCAAATTGCGTCACCATAAAGTTTTTCATAGATATCAAGACTTCACAGCAAAGCAGAAGATTAGGATGTCAGCATCCATAATTGGAGGAAGTAGTTTATGATATTATGCAGGGCCTACCTCTGACAATTTGAGTAAAATCTCGCTTAAGGTGCCTTTCGAACCACCGTCATCTTCCTTCATCTGCAAGGATGTAAGGCTAACATGCAATTGCAAACCTAATCGAAAGTTAATAGGGTTTCATTTTATGAATTTTTTGGCCAGGTATGTTGATGGATTTTCTTGAATTATAGTTTTTGGCTCTTACGATATCTGTAGCATGTTCAGCTACAATGTAGTCCACGTGGATTTATTGGGGTCACAGGGCAGTGCGTCTAGGACTACACATATTTGTACTCATAACTCCAGATCACGACTCCTTCAGTTTGAGCCTCTTTCGTTAAACCTTTCATTATTACTGAAAAATTTAGTGACGTCAAACTATTAAAAAATTAGTAGATAAACCGTAGGTTGAATTTTTTGGGAAAAAATATCTGTTGCTATCTTGTGAAATTGGATTACATAAGAAAAACTAACACAAGGCTTCTTTATTGAGTTGTGGCCAGAAGCTTGCCCTTTTTTAATAATCATGCCATAGAAATGGCCAACCTGAACAACCTAGGAAGATTAAATAGCAGAATGACAAAATATATCTACTTTGCCACATTATCAATCATCAGTAACGGAGAGCTCGGATCAGCTGGCTTATTTTTTACTGATAGTTTATCTTAGTTGGATTGTGACTAAGCTAATCCATTTCAAACTAACTTCGTTCCCTAAAGTTCGTAAATACTTTCTTACATCATCACTAGCCAACCTCATCCTTTCAACACATAAATGTAAATATATCAATTAGCATTCATTCACATAATTACGTGCTTATCTACCTGCATTCGTAGTCGCAGTCGTTTTCCCATTACTGCACTCGCACAGACTTATCTGAACACAGTAACCAGAGAAATTAAAGTTATTTTCCTTATTTTAGACTTATAATAATTCCTGCTTGCGTGTCATGTATAGACTCATGCATAAATAGGTTCCAAATATGCGGCTACGCACATCCATGCTTTGGCGAAAAACATGCGAATATTTATTGAAATGCATATATGTATGGACTTACGCCCGTCTTTGTTTATGTACTTTTGTGTATATACGTTTTGAATATTATTATTATTATATTATTCTATATTATATTACATATATAATCTATTATTATATTAATATATTATTATTGAATTATTATCCTTGTTCATTTGCATATGTACTTTCCGGCCAAGGCTCCATTTCATCAACAACTGCTCCTTTATCAACAGTTACTTCGTCGCTGTTTCGGCCTCTGAATCAAAAGATCTGGACCCGATCTGCCAACCATACAGGTCAACACGATCCCCACCGTACAATCCAATCTCAACATCAAGAGTCCTCATCAACAACTGCTCCTCTATCAACAGTTACTTCGTCGCTGTTTCGGCCTCTGAATCAAAAGAGCTGGATCCGATCTGCCAACCATACAGATCAGCACGATCCCCACCGTTCAATCCAATCTCAACATCAAGAGTCCTCTGCTAGATTTGCTTCCAGCCAATTAATTTCGTCTGGCCAGCCCACCCGTGACTTTGTCCATCAATTGGCTAATACCATTCTTTGTCGGCAGACTCGGCCATCCACTGTCTGGAAGATCGTAGCTAGCACAACTACATCGATACCAATGGAAATTCAACAAGAGCAGAATCAACGCACTCTCATTAGCAAATCACACCAGATAAAATCTCAAATCCATGAATGGCATCCATCACATGATTCTACCGTGACCAACCACGTGTCAGGGCTTTTAGACCCGTTATTCGTCCCCGACCAGCTAATTGGTCGTAATCTATCTACTCTCCCAATAGCCATATCTCGTCAGCCTCCTCCGAATCTACCTCCTCTCGCATCACCTCTTTTCTTGTCCAAGCGAAATTCTCTTTCTCCGGTCGAAAGAAATAGTAGAAAAACTATTTTTGAGACACCAGTTTTATCACACGTTATCCAGGGTGTTCCTGTTTCTCGAGCACGCAGGTCAAAGGAACCAGCAGCTATCAATCCTCATCCTTCGGCGGACAGAGCTCCTATAATATTTCGTTATACTGATGTTCTAGTTGATCTTGTCAATGAAAATTCAGTCAGTAGTCCTAGCGCAAGCCTAAGTGTAAGTGCTGACAGCACTGAAGCGTTTGGTGGAGCTGACATCTGTTTATCGGCAGCAAATTGGCTTGGCAATGATGCAATTGGCTCTTCTCAACTTAGCAAACTACTTTTGCCGGAAACTTTGGAAACACTAAACCGGTTCGCCATTTGTGAGTACAGGAAATCTTGCCATGTTGACTTGTATCTTTGGGATATTGTGAAAGACTGATAGGTAAAGACAAGACATTTCCAAAATTTAGCAAAAAGAAAACGTTTTTTGTTCTTATAAACTGGGTTTTGATGTACCCCCTAATATTTTCATTGTTTTGGACCTTTTCTATAAAGTTAAATGGAGGTAATTCATATGTTAAACCCATCAAAATCCAATGCAAAAATTAGAGGAGAAAATTATTTAAGTTTTTAGGTATTAAGTCTAGACTCAGACATGATTTGAGCCGAATTATCACTCCGTATGGCTTTCTAAAACTACACAAAGTGTCAGACAAAATTGCGGGAAGGATCTCTGACTTTATTAAAAAAGACACCATAGAGACGCAGAAATAGCTATGGGATATATAAGCAACCCAAGGTCCAACCACCTGAAAAAAAACGAAGATGCCTCTAGAATGACGAATTTCACAGTCCAGACAAGAGATAAAGATAAAATAGTGAATCTGACCCATTTATCCTCTTTATCATCCCTATTTAAATTGTCACACTCTTTGTGGCTTTGTGTCCAGCCTAAGTCATAATCGCTGGTGTGAAAATGTACCGCGTCTCTTTTTTACCCTGAATCGTGAAAAGCACATTCCTTTTGTCTTTCAAGTTTAAGGTCGCATCTAATCCTAGGGTACTAGCCAGTTGTTCATGGGTACATTGGTTGGTCAGGCCATCTCAGGTCACTCATCTCTCATTGAGGTACACATCCGAAAAATGCCAACAAACTCGCACATCCATACTATGGACCCATCTTTGGTACATCTATACCTTTGGTCTAGCACCTCTAATTGAGTATAATCTGTCTGTTTCTGGCTTTTAATTTCCCATTCCACAGGTGGACCCACACCGGTAAATTTGCAGGCTTATTTTAGGCTTGACTCCTCTCATTGCAATTGCCTTTTCTTGACTCATCTTTTATCCCTCATTAGCCCCTCCTTGAAGATGTCTCTTCCTGTTGTAGAATAGTTGCCCTTGGCTCTTTTTGCTGTCCTCGTTAAATCTCCAAGTCTGGTCATGCAGTACGCGAAATCCTCGCTGACTTCCATCTTCCAATCTCTTGTTCATCAGGATTCTTTGAAAGACTTTGTCTACGGCCTTCCTGATCTTCCTTTTCTGACGTTCTTCCCATATGAAGCCAGTCTTTCCGTTGCACTCCAGACAATTGTGCGGCCGGTAAGATCAATTTGTTCAGCTAGCTCAGATCTTTCCTTATCCATTTTCCGGCATAGTTGCTGGTGTTCTTTGATTCTTGTGCCAATTGCCCTCAGTCTATCAGATGTACTTTTATTACAGTTCCTGCAATTTATACTTTAGACTCCGGAGCACTCAATTTGTTGACTTCGACATGTTGTGTGGACATGCTGATGAAAAGTGTGGCCCTTTAATTCAAAGGTGCACGGATCTTTCATTTCATTAATATGGACTGCAGCTTTCAAACCAATTTGCAGGAGAGTAGACATATCCATCATTTTCCTTACCTTACTCTTGCTTTTCTTTTATGACCCCCTTTCTTTCCTCCCCCTCTCATCAGGACTCGTATTTTAGGTTACATTACTTCTTCTTGATATCCGTTTCCAAGGCACGTCTAAGTTAGTTATTCCAGTTCCTCTTCCCAGAACTCAGAATCGATAAGTCGTAGGCTTCTTGTGACCGTACTTCATTCCATAAGTATGCTTAGACTGGAAGTTAATGATTATTCCTGCATGTGATTTCTTTCGGAGCAGCCGTATCTTAAGAATCTCATTCGATCGAATCATCGCATTCAAGAAAGGTAAGTGTTCCTTTTTTTCCACATCTATTGGAAATCTCACTTTTTTGTCCATATTGTTTAATAAGTGCAACAAGACTTATAAACATAAGCTATGAAGACCATGATGGTATGGCCTTTTGTGTGGTCGCAGTCTTCTCTCGTTGTATAGAAGTTATTTGACCTTGTTTTCGCAATTTGGTGACATTGGTAGGAAGACTTAGAGGGACGCACCTAGTTCGGAGTCCATTGTATGCATGATCATTTCCAAATTCGGACCATGGAAGTGGTACTTTCCCAGATGTTTCACCGACATCGTCAGTGAGTCTCGCCATTCGTAGCACCATAGTACAGCTCTTCAAAGAGACGATTGAAGTCCATCCTTTGACCAAACGTGTGCTAAACAGTTATGCTATCTCCCCTTCTGCCCTGGCCTATTCACATTTCTTATATCCTCCTATCACGCCTTCACTGTTACACTTTTTACCGTGCTTATTTCGATTTAGTGTGGTGTGCTCCTTCGAGCGGCATTCGTGAAAACCTTTCGCACTCCACACTGTCGTTCTCAACCCCTTCATTGTGCTGGGAATGTTGACCTGAGTCTGCTATATTGTTACGTAGTCCTATCAGAGTCTCCCTCTTGCCCCGTAGAATCCGTCTGCTATCTCTCTGGTACACGTATTTCACTCGACCCCTGCCCCACCATCTGTACTACTCGAGGCGTTATTCGCCCTTCACTGCGTCTAGGTGACTAATTCGAGGCTAAAGCCTCTGAGTAAGACTCATAGTCACGCCTTTGCTACATGGACAACGTTAGTGGTAAAAACAGACTTACTATCAGCCAACAAGCTCATGGTCATGCCTTTGCATTATCGACCACGTCTCTTGTAAAACCTACTGTCAGCCAACTAGCTCCAATCGCCGCCTCGTCTATCCTGTCTCTA